GCAGGGAGCGACTGAGAATGCATCCTTCAGGTCTCTTTAGTATTTCCTCAAAAGAGCTGCACAGGGCAAAGTAAGAATAGAGTAATATAACAACTCTGTTTTGGCTTCTATCTCTGGTTAAATACACTAGTTATAATTGAGTATATATTGAGCTAATTAGCGTTTTCTTTCTGTCTTTTTCCAAGAATTCAGAAACTGTTTCCAGAGTTGGAAATAAAAAGATCCTACAACTTTATATGTTTATCTTATTACTTCTTTTCTAGACCCTTTCTGCTATAAAATCTAAAGTAGATTCAATATCAGATGGTAATTCTGCAATTGTTCTTCATAACATCAAATTCAAAATATTTCTTTGGAAGGTTTTTTAAAGCAATGAATTGCATATATGCTCCCACAAAGAAAAGAATAACATGAGGTTTACGGTTAGACAGATTTCTTATATAAAAAGATATATATTATCTAGGAAGACACAAATTAATCAATTCACATTTTCGTCCCAATGTGACCAAGTTTGTAACTTAATAAAAATAGGCCATCAAAGCCAATTTCTGAGAAACCTTACTGATATAGCTTGTAGTGTAATAATAAAGCCCTTTCATGTGGTTTACTTGGTATCAGCAAGATGATAGTGCATTTATGTAACCATGTAATTCCATTATAATTTTCTCTCACTTGCTAACCATCTTCATAATTAGTATTAAATTATGTCATAGTTCAGTAAAAAGCATTCTGTCAGAACAGTATCTATCAGAATACCATGATGAAAAGCTTTAAAATGGCATTAACTAACTCTGAATTAAATTCTTATATTTCTATCTCTTGTTATACAAAACTGGAGTTTTCATAATAACATACAATTTATGTTGATAGGGCATAACAAAAATGGTTCACTTCCAACCAGAATAGCTTCAATACTGATAAACATAATTCTTCTTGATTTCACCATGCACACACCATGTAATGGACAAATTATTACTGTCTTAGGGTTTAAATAGTCCTCACTGATTGAAGGATGCCACAGGAATAAAAATGTGGTCTGTAGAAATATAATAAGTAGTCTCACTTTCAAGGTTTATTAATAAGGCAGAGCTATGCACATGCATGTCAGCGGAATGATGTAGCAAAATTACCTGTTACTCATATATCCTATTTATTTAAAGGCCTAAATTATATATTTATTCTTCAATAAAACATAAAAGTTAGAACTGATTCCCCTATACACAAAACTCTGAAAGTAATGTCAATATGTTACTTTCCTAAGTAAATGAAAAATAACAATCACTGGGATCAGTCAATAGATTAGCCAGTTAAGCCACTAGAAAGTTTTAAGTAGTCTTCCTCCAACCTCAAAATGGGCACATATTTATTAGCAGTCTTATTCATTGTAATGTTTTCTTAAAATTACTGAATAGATTTGATATGGAGCTTATTACAGGGTAGTTTTATGTGGAGGCAGGGACATTGTTAGATATCTGCAAGCATCTCATCCCAACCACAAAACAACACAGCAATAGTATCAGCAGAAAGCGAGGTCCTAATTTCACCAGCTAGAAAACTCAGCCAAACTACCAAGCGTAAAGTGCTTCAAGCAGCAAGAGGAAACAGAACACCGGTTTAAATGAACAAAAGGGAACTGATGGTCATTCAGGAAAAAGATGAAAGGCAGATATAACACATGATGGTCACTTAAACACCAAGAATGCATTTAATGACAGAGGAGACAGAAATGATGGAAGAGGGGATAAAGGTGGGACAATTTTCCTTCACGTGACCACAGCTCTTGCTATCCCCTCATGAGAAAAAAGGGAAAAAAAAATTCACCTCTGGCTTGTATTAGTCAAAGAGACATCCTAATAAACCCTCCCAAATCACTCAAAACACAGGAATCTCATATTTCAAAATTGAAGTAGACAGACATATGTGTGTATATTCGTATATACATCACATGTTTGGAGAGGAAAAGAGGTGTGTGAAGACAGAGGACTGGTGTTGCTCAAGGTCATTCTCCTCTTGAAAAAAGAGAAGGAAAAAGTGACTAAAAGAAATGGTCTGGGGGACAGGAGTCAAGTGGCAAGTTCTTCCCACCTGCCTATAGGCTCACCTTGGTTCCCATGGGTGTCCTGACTGCCCTATTTTTCTGCCCCTCTCGCTGGTAAGCATAAGAGAGACTAAAGGAAGGAACATTTTGTGGGAAATTTCCTATTAACCCCTGACAGTCTTAACCCATTAGGGAGACAAGCCAGCTCCATCTAAGTACAAGGTCAGTGGACTCAGATCTTCAAACTACCTGGTGTGTACCTCTCTGTCACTCCAACAAGGGAGAACGGAAGAGAGGCAGAAATCTCCATTTTTTAAGTAACTTCTATATAAAAAACTCTGTGCAAGGAGGCCTATTTGGTTTTGACATTCCACCTAACTCGCATCTGCACAAGTGAATGGCGTTTTAAAACATGAGTCACACCATAATCTACGTTTAGGCTTCTAAGCACTCAACAATCAGTTAATGCATTTGTTTTGCCTTCCCTCAGGATGAGGACACAAAGACAAGACTTAACCTGCAGAATAGTGAAAAGGCCAGAGAGAAGTGAAATGAGGAGGGAGATGTAAAAAACACATAATTTTCCCAGGTACTTATATTCCGCACCAGCATTCCTTCTTTCTTGAGTACCCTCTAAAGAGGTATGCCTTATTTGCTAACAAATATTATGAGTATGATATAGTTTCTGTTGTAATAATATTCTGGAGAAATCTGGGGGACAAAGAAGTGTCTTTGTGAGATTGTTAGTACACACCAATCAGTTTTCTGACCAGGATTTGCTGAGTGATGGGGGAAATACAAATACACTAACCTAAAAAGAAGATAAAAGAAACGAAAAACCCTCACCTAATTCCTCCCAAATTCCCACTTATTTTTAGTTTTTATTCAGGCAGTACCCTTTTCTTTGTGAGTCTCAGAGAGTAGAGTGTGGACTTGCTTTACTATTAAAGTCGAGTTACCCTCTGTATCCTTTCTTGGTTCTCCCTAGAGCTGGAACTTATAGAGCAAATCTATCTGAAGAGGGGCCCTCACCGCCTTCACGTTTATTGGGCACGGGAGTGGGGGGAGGAGGAGTTGTCTTTTCAGTGGTATTCCAACTGGAGAGAGAACAGGAGTATAAATGACCTAATTAAATCCAGGAGAGCAAGAAGGGAGAAAAGAGAGAGGAAAAAATGGAAATCTAGTATAAACACACTTAGTTTCAGGTTTTGAATCCTGAGAAATCATGCAATATTTGAGTATCAAGGCGTTTTTGCAGCCAGCTTTCCTTCTATGTTCTTGCATATTCATTTACAAGGGGGTGGAGGATTGCAGGCGCAAGAAGTCAGGCAGGACTTCACTGCCCTCCACGCGTCTCTCTCCACCTCCCTCTCACATCCAGGCCGCCACCTCAGCCATGATGCGCCTACTGTCTGCCAGGGGGCCTGCTGAGCTCTCCTGCCCCTCCCCAAAAAGTGTCCACGAGGGCCTGGCAGCTGCAGTGGCAGAGCCCAGCCCCCAAGCCCGCTGCATATACGGCCTTGTAGCACCACCAGCCTGCGAGGGCTGCAGCAGCAGCGCCCAGACTCCAGAGGAGTCAGGGATATCAACGCGCAGGGACAGTGAGAGCAGCTAGCTAGTGGCCAGTTTATAGTCTGCAAATGCCATCATATGGGTATCTATAGATACGCAGCAAGCAGAGAAAAAGAGGCAGCGCCCCGACACTTTTCTAAGCGGCTTTAGCAAAGAGAAACCTTAGGCGCATCTCCAGTGGCTGCCTCCACGAGCAGGGCGCCTTGCACTTGGCCGGGCCAAATCTTCTCCGCTGGGTGCACCCAGCAGGCAGCTACCAAAAGCAGGACACAAACGAGAGCACTCCTTAGCTGAATTATTCAGACCGCCTTCACTATGGAATAAAACATTGATGAGACTACTTTGCAAGTGCTTTATCTTGTTAATCCCAATGGTCTCGAGAAAGGAATGAAATTTCTGCAGGGGGACGCAGAGGTGATGGAAAAAGGAAATGAGAGAAATAAGGTGCAGGGTAAGGGGCTTTGGAAGTTCGCTAAATTTGTTCTGACTCTGCCAGCCATGGGAATCTCCGTTTTAACGTATCAGACCCAATATGTTAATTAGGCAGTCGCAAATCCACCCTATTCCTTGTAAATCAATGCACTGGCAAGAATTTTCAAAATACATATTATACAGAAACAAGCAAACCCAAACCAACCAAACAAACCACGCACTCACAAGCTCCACAACCGAGACAATATAGCTGGGGATGGCATTGGGTTGGTGGTTATGGTTTTAGCCTTGCTCCTCTAGATACAAAAATGACTTCTTTCATGGATCCATTCTGTCATATCTAAGCAAACGCTCGCAGTTAAATACCATATCTCAGCACACACGCCCGTGACAATGAATTCCCTTTCAAGCAAAGCAAGTTCCAAGAAAACTCCATTTCAGATTAAAGTCTCCCGATGCGTAATTTACAACTACTAAAAGATCTGGCAAGCTCCTCCACAATAAGGAAAGGAAAACAACCTGGCACCAGAGGCAGAGAAGGGTCAAAACGATCCTTGCCTGAAATGATGGGTGGAAACCAAACACCCTCTCGCACTCCACAGTCTGGGGAGGGTTGGATACCAAATGGTCCGTGGCAAACATAGCCTGAAGGAAAAATGGAATTTTAATCTCTGGCATCTTCAGACAGGTTCAACATGCCCAGCTTTCCAGTATCATCACTTAGGGTGGAGCATATCCATATTCCCTTAGCTTTCACTGCTAGATTAAGTGCTCAGGTATAGATTTATATCCCACCTACTAGAAATTTTATTGCAACATCACAAAGCGCCCTTGGATATCCAGCCCTTCCTAATGATTTTCGAAACATTAATAAGTAAAGTAGCCTGCAATGCAGATAAGACACTAGAAACAAGATCAGAAGGAAACTGGGTGAGGCGGGTGGTCGTTTGCTTGTTACCTGGTGCCTCTAGGGGAAAAGACGGTCGTAGGAGGACTTTCTGCCCGCAGGTACAATCCCGGCAAGGTGGCTCCAGGTGGCTTTCACAGTCGTACGCGGGTCTCGCTCGTCACTTTGCTGCCCTTTGCCATAGCTCAGCACCCGCATCCTAGGGAGTCCGAAGGGCGGCTCCTGCCACTGCCGCCGCTGCCTGCAGGTCGCGCTGGGTGGGGGATCCGCGGTGATCGCCCCATGAAACCCGCGTTTCTGCGCCCGGGGAGCGGGCAGAGGCAGGGCGGCCGCGCACGCACACACAGACACACTCAAACACACACACACTCATACACTCGCACACAGGCGCGCGCGCACTCGCATTCACTCTTGCACACGCACATCCAGCACAGCACGGGGAGGGAGAAACAAGGAGGGGACTGGTCCTTCTCACGATCGGCTTTGATGCCCACCGGACCACAGGCAGAAAAGAGAGTGGTTTGACATCGCCTTTTATCACGTTTCCTTCAAGTTCTCCTCCAACCCAAATCCACGTAATTCAAGAGCTGGTGACATTTTGGTGGGGAGGAGAGAGCCGGGAAAGGGCTGAGGAAGAGTCGGGGATTTTGTTAAGCAGTTTGAAAAGCAATCCTTGTTACCTTGTTTGTACAGAAACCAGCTCGAAGGGCTGAACTTTTGGCTCCAGATGATGTGGACCGAAACATAAATATCCTTCTAGCCAAGACAGGAAGGTCTAGATGCGCGGAAACAAGACAGCTACAAGACCCTCTGGTGACCTTGTGATGTACCTGGAAGCAAGTTAATACTGGCGCTTTCCAAGTCTCTGCGTAAAGCGATCCACACACATGGGTCCACAGCAAGGCAGCGGTTCCGAATCCAGCCGGGAAAAGGGGTCTGGGCGTCCTCCCTGCTCTTTGAGAACCTGGGCATCGAGGGGGCACCGACGAGTTAACAACATTTGCTTCTGGGCAGTTGGATAAAAGACAGTCAAATGCATCAGAGAGGCGCGCGCGCGCGCACACACACACACACACAGCTAGCTGGAGAGCGGCTTACAAAAAAAAAAAAAAAAAAATGCCAAGATGACTTCAAAAGGTAGAAAAGATCCAGAATCTTTTCGGAAAACAGAAGGGTCAGCAGGAAGGTTATGAAAATCTCCTCAGGTCTTTCATTCTTCCTCTCCCTTGTGAATGTGTGTGTGCATTTCCAGAAGGTTTCCTTGGTCGGCCCCACCCCCGTCCAGTTGCGCTTTTTTCTCTTGATAGAAACCCACCGTGCAAAATGAATTATATGGGTGGGTTGTGCTCACAGCCCAGAGCTCCACAGTCAAGAATCCTAAGGGAGCAGCCAGCTGCGAAGCCATTCACATCCTCTAGGGAAAAGGAAAAACACGCGCAAACACACGCACACACGCGCGCGCGCGCACACACACACGAGTCCTCAGTTCGGGCCGCTCTGCACACGCTGGCCGACTCCCTGCGCTCGGCTGCACACAGCGCCCCGCCCGCTGCCCGCCGCGCCGGGGCGAGTCCGCAGCTCAGGCGTGCGGCTGGCAGCCCAGGTCCCAGCCTGCGACCGGGGCAGGCCCCGCGCCCCGGCTCCCCGCGGCAGCCTGTTTGGGCAACGGCAGCCGCCCGGCCGGGAAGAACTGCGTCCGCAGCTGCAGCATGGAGGCGGCCGCGGCGGCGGTGGCGGCGGGCGCGCGGCCGTGGGCCCGGCCCTCGCCGCAATGACGGGAGCTACCGCGCTTCCCAGACTCAGAGTCAGGCGAGACCCCCTCCCGGGCCACTGCGCCTCCCTCTGCCCTCGCGCCTCCGAGGCGGGCGAGCTCCGGACTGATTGACTCCAGGCTAGAGGAGAGGGTCCACCAGGTGCCTGCAATCCCCAGGCAGGGGAGGCGCGGGGGCGTTGCAGGGAGGGGGAGGGGAGAAGGCAGAAAATCTGGAGATAAAGGCGAACTTCTAGGGGCGTCTCCAGCCTCTTGAAAAAGGGAAACTTGAGGACCACCCACTGCCCCCACGGTTATGGGATAACGGAGTGCACCGGGTCAAGCTGCGACTGCTAACAGCGGTGGGAAAAGTCATTTGCTATAACCTCCAGGAAAATCTGAGACGGAAGGCTGCTGATTTGAGCTCTCTGTCACCTGCGACTGGCCTCATCCACGGTCCCCTTAGTAGTAGTAGGCAATGGTTCTCTTACTAATCAGATTGGAAAAGAAGCTGAAAAATTTCTATTTGAGAAGCAACTCAGCTCAGCCTTAGATATTTTAAGTGCTGCAGTTGGTCACATTTTAGTATGTCAAGGGCAGAAAGCAAGCCCAGTAGTCGACATCAGCCAGGCCTGACCACTGAGGTCAGTGGGAAAGAGATCAGATCTGAAGTAGCAAAGAGAAGGGTGGTGGGGAGAACGCTGGACTGGGCCCTGGCGGAGAGGGGTCGAGGGGCCGGCATTTCTCCTGACCCTGCCAAAACTCCTGGAGCTTCTCTCCTAGACCCTACCCTCACTCCCTCCAGTCTGGAAAAAGCTTCCTTCCGGGAACTCCCAGTGAAATCCAGCTGAGCCTTTCTACTGGAGCCAGGAAACCCTTTCACTTCTCTTTGGTGGGTTCTCCAGCACTCGGTCTTCGGCCCCAGGGGGCACCTTCTCTTTTAGCTCAGATCTCGGCTGGCCGGGACACCAGTCAGAACCCAAAGAGAAGGGTAGAGTTGCAGATTGCAGACGGAAGCTGGCTAATAAGGGCCTCTTCCTGGGCTAGTTGGCAAAGCCACGTGTTAGTGGCCCCCTCGAATGGGCGCTATCGAATTTTGCTACCAATATCGCTCTCCCAGGCTTTAGCGTTGCCCTGCGGATGCACAAACGCACTCACACTGGAGCACACCCACTGAGCTCACCCAAGCGCGTACACGTGCACCCACGCATAAGCAGGACCACACAGCCTCCTCTCTGGGGAAAGAAGCCGAGGGGTGGAGTGCTTGAGGTGGAAACTGCTCTCATCTCCTTCCTCTGCTCTGCTCTCCCTTTACGCCCCCCGGGCTCCAAATCCAGTCCCGGGTTGAAGAATCCGCGCAACCCTCGTCGCTGCTTCGTTCCGAAGGAGCGCAGCTCTGGGGTTGCAGTTCCTGCTGTGCCTCCTTCCTCTACATCTGCGGCTGGCGCGGGGTCCGGGGCTCTGGGTGGCGGGCGGAGTAGCGCGGAGCCCGCGCGGCGCCTCACGGTCCGAGTTCCAGGGCTGGAGCGTCAGACTCGCCCAGCCCTGGGCTGTGCGGCGTACCTCACAAAATAAAGCAAAGGGACACCGCTGCAGTCCAGGCGAGTCTCCACTAAAGCCGCCAGTGCTTCCCCCGTGGCTTTTTGTCCTCCGAAGTATAAGAATTGAGTTTCCGAAAAGTCTACGGCAGGAACCAGCGGCGAACGGAGTCCAAGGACTCCCCGAGGAGCAGGGAGAGAGCGAGCGGCCATCTCCGTCTCACTTTACCCTTGGCCGCTTCTGGGACTTCACTGGAGGGCGGCGGAGTTGCACCAGTACCAACTAGGAGCCGCTGTGAGCGAGCACTTCCAAACACTTTAGGACGCGGGGGTGACTCCTTTTTCTTTCAGGATTGTCCCGCTTGCCACCCTTCCCTGCTGAGCTGATGGGAACCGCTTAAGTCCGGGAAGTAAAGGTTTGCGGTTCTTCCTGGGGACTGAAGTATGGAGAGGTGTTGAATGAGAAATCCAAAGATCTTGCATCGCTGGACTAAATAACTTTTCTTGTTCGTTTTCTTTCTTTCTTTCTTTCTTTCTTTCTTTCTTTCTTTCTTTCTTTCTTTCTTTCTTTCTTTCTTTCTTTCTTTCTTTCTTTCTTTCTTCTTTCTTTCTTTCTTTCTTCTTTCTTTCTTTCTTTCTTTCTTCTTTCTTCTTTCTTTCTTTCTTCTTTCTTTCTTTCTTTCTTTCTTTCTTCTTTCTTTCTTTCTTTCTTTCTTTCTTTCTTCTTTCTTTCTTTCTTTCTTTCTTTCTTTCTTTCTTTCTTTCTTCTTTCTTCTTTCTTTCTTTCTTTCTTTCTTTCTTTCTTTCTTCTTTCTTTCTTTCTTTCTTTCTTTCTTTCTTTCTTCTTTCTTCTTTCTTCTTTCTTCTTTCTTCTTTCTTCTTCCTTCCTTCCTTCCTTCCTTCCTTCCTTTCTTTCTTTCTTTCTTTCTTTCCTTCTTCTTTTTTTTTTTTTTTTCCTTTTTCTAGTGCCCAGATGGAGGTGAGGAGGGGGTATACTTAACCAGCTGTAAGAAGTCTAGAATTGAGAACAGGGCAAAGTTCAAATATATAACTGGGTACTTTTAAGAAAAGGTGTGTGTGTGTGTGTGTGTGCACGAGAAAGATGAGATCAACGTTTCCTTAATGTGGAAGAGTAATAATGTATAACTTCTCAGTATTCTCTTATGTTGCAAGCCCTATCAAGCTCATAAAAACATCTTCTCTTCGTTTAGTTTAGCCTTACTGCACCATTATGCATTATATTTGAAAGTGCTTTCCTCTACTTTCCCAGTTTTATCTCATTTCAAGAAAGCACTCACTGGTAAAGCCTTGTAACTCTCACTCTCCACATACAGTTTTTGTTCCTTTTCCTCCTATGGAAGCTGATTAGAGTTTGCCAATAGAGAAGAAGAAGAGAGCTTTGTTTTACCTGGTTGTCAGTAGAAGGTGGCAAGACTTTCAAGGAGAGGCTAGGATATTCTTTCCCAAAGGATCTAAAAGTAAACAAAGGATCTCAAAATTTATTTTTATTTCCTTCAAAGGAAAAAAGGCCTCTGAAAGGAAGGGAGATAGCAATTTCTGGTTTGCCTACATGGTTGTTGTTGTTGGCACTAACCAGCTATGTAATTGGTAAACTTTTAAGAGTCCAAGCAAATTCCTTGTAGAACAGAGTCCATTTATACAGTAGTATCTAAAAAGAACCAAAATGTATTCCAATAAATAATTTAGTTTTTACTTTTCTCAACATATCTGCCTGACTTTCTTAATTTGTCCCCAAATCCAATGTTTATGCCAAATCACTTTAAAAATCATGTCAAGTTTCTCTCTCCCAGATTGTTTTTCTAATGATCATGGTCCTAAATGTTGGATTGTTTTCCCAGAATAATCCAGCATTTGGAAAAGTTGTGTTTTGCCAATTTCAGACAGCAAATAGAAATGTGAATGTTCTTCAGTTAAAATAATAACTAAAAGGTAACCTAAGTTTCTGGTTATATTATTTGGCAGTTGAGTTTCTTCTAAGGAAGTGAGAGAGGCATGATTTACTCTAAATTTGTTGTTAATAGTCTGCTTACTCCATGAATTTTCTTACTTCTGCAGATTGACATGTGTGCTAAATTGTCTTTTCTCATTTTTTGTTGATGTACATTTTTAAAATCTTACTTAAGGTGAAATTACTTTCACATTGGCTGGGTGATAAATCACTAATATGAAGAGCTTTTGATTCTTTTTACTAATATAAAGTTCTCTGTTAATTAAAGACTGGAAAATGATATGAGGAAACAATGGGGAAAGACAAGTTTCTAAAATGAAGTAATAACATTAAAAAATTAGTTAAAATAAGTGAAATCCAAACATCAAGATTTAAAAAAAAAATAACTGTCATAGTTGTGCCCTACATAGTTTTGAAATGTAAAAGAGACTTCATTATCTTAGAAACATGTTTCTGATGTTGTACCTGCCTATAAAGTTCTAAGGTACAAATTGTGGTGGCAATTACATCTTAACAACAAAAAAAATCAACTGAACTCTAAACAAAGTTGAAGACCTAGCATATTTCTTTTTTTTTTTTTTTAAGATTTTATTTATTTGACAGAGAGAAATACAGCGAAAGAGGGAACGCAAGCAGAGGGAGTGGGAGAGGGAGAAGCAGGCTTCCCACCGAGCAGGGAGCCCGATGTGGGGCTCCATCCCAGGACCCTGGGATCATGACCTGAGCCTAAGGCAGGCGCTTAAGGACTGAGTCACCCAGGTGCCCCCTAGCATATTTCTAAGTAAACAGATGTCTCATGTATTTTGGATCTTCCAAAAAAA